CGCTCTTCGCTACATTGGATTTAAGATCGCGAATAAACAGCATACGATTCGGCTAGCTTCGTGCACCTTCGACTTTATCCCGAAACGGGATCGCGTCGGTGTCGACGTTTACACGAAAATTCTCACACTTGCTTCGCTCTGTCCGATCGTGCTAGTCTACAAGCCTGTTGATTACATTTTCCGTGATGTGAATGCGTAATAATTCTTATCGCGCGTTCAGACTACTGTATAAGCCGAGTGCAATAAATTATCCTCTCACGTTGTCTATACTCGTAAAAATTGCTCGTTTATACTAATATACGCGTATTAAACTTGTTATTAACCTCTATGTAATGTTTATGTCACGTGTGTTACGACGCCATAACGCGGGCCGAGTCGGTAACGTAGTTTTGGAAAGTGCGTGACCGATGGAGGGCCTCGGCTTACCTTTCGGGTAAATTTTCGGGTAAAGGGTGGGTGTGGACATCATCCTGAACGTTCTTCGCAGTTGCGTATGGTATATACCTATCTCGAAGGTTCTTCTTTTCAGAATGCCTGGAGCCCTAAGTCCCGAATTCCACGGCGACTATTACGAGGCGAACAACACTCGCTCTTGAGTCTCTCCGCAAGCAGGTTCGCCATTAGAATTACAAATATACGCGCTACACGGCACGCGCCCTGGGCGCTGAACTTCGTCGTGGTTTAATGTCAGACATTTCGCGAGAAATTCATCACAGGCCCTCAGGCTGCGAACGCGCCTTTACGATCGTTCTTCGGTTTGGAGCAGCGAGTCGTGGTTTAGAACAACCGGTAAAAGATCGCAGACGCCAGATGGTCAAGCGACTTCTCCTACGGAATTGTTATTAAAAGATGGGTTTGCCATAACCTTATCGATATAAAGGGTACGTATACATGTTTTACACTAATCTTATATATCGGATTGTTTTCTCATGAATTACAATGCAGATGTTACAGGTTATCACTGGGAAGGAGTGAGATTAAACAAATTCAAATGGTGTATTGGAAAATAATGGCGGTCGAACAAATGGAGTCATTGACACGTAAGAATCACGATACGCAAATAATTCGATAAGATCGAACACAATAGCGTCCTGTCCCGCATCTGTACTAATCGGTGTCTTTTCTGTTTTGAAATCCAGGTGCGCTCGAATCGCCATCATGGAACCAACGTAACATTCGAACTCTCACGGCTCGTAATCACATCGGTCCGATCAACAAAGATCGTCGTCACAATTTGCTTCGGAGTCATCGCGAAACCGTGGAAACAGAAAAATCGCTATCCTCTTTTGTATGGGATGATAAGGGCCGCTATTTTGACACTCTTTCGCATTATCGTCTCCGTTGTACTTATCGCGAAAGTCGACTCCAACGATACGAGCAGCCAGAGTGCGAGTACAACGTCACGATTGGTCCTCCTTGGTCCGACTCTTCGCTGCCAGCGGTTCTCATGTTCTTACGGATGTTACTGCATCTCGTGAACAGGTGAAACGAGGATTATTTAAGCGAAGATGTGACGTTGCCTGTGCTTCGAGAGGGGTAAGCGAATTTGTCGTATTATATCATTATATTAATTAGATTTAGACAAGAATTAGACAATTATTAACAGTCACGTGTCTATGTTTCGCGTATTTTAAATATTTACCAGGAAATGGTCT